ATGGTACATGATACGGCATGTTTTGTACGCAAATTTCGTTTATTACACAATGTTCTATTGCTTTGTGAACGCCTACATACTAAGCATGACTAACGACACAGCAAGTAGAAATAGACAGCAAATAGCTAACGATAGTTTCAATACGGTCTTTGCAAGTATTTTGCAAAATGTTACATTACACAATCTTTCGTGGGTTTTTGCCACGCTGATGTTGCTGCTCTTCACCTACCGAGAGATCTTGCAATTTATCTGCTGTCCTCAACGCTACTTGGTAGATTTGGAAAACTGGGCACAAGTTCTGCTAATTGTACTGACTCTTGCACTGCTGTGCGGCGCAGGACGGCAAATCGGAGTTATGGTTATCCTGCTGTCCACCTGGGAGCTAATGACTCTGATAAGCCATCATCTGTTTCCGTCCACTTGTATCGAAATGTTTCGAACTGTCTTCTTCAATTTTGTTCGGTTTTTCTTCCCGTATCTGATTCTGATCCTCGCATTCACTCTAGCTTTCTACATGCTCTTGAGGAGTGACGATTTCTCTAATCCCGGTCTTTCGCTTTTCAAAACCATCATTATGTTCACCGGCGAGTTTGACGCCAAAGACATTTCTTTTTCTGCGTATCCTGTTTGGAGCCGCATTGTGTTCGTGCTGTTCATCTTTCACATAGTCATCGTGCTGTTTAATTTGCTTAATGGTTTGGCAATCAGCAACATTGCCGAGATTCTGAATAAGGCCGAGATTATCGGACTAATCTCCCGGGTACGCCTGATCGCTTGTTTCGAAAGAATGACAGTCGGGAAACCGTTCTGCTGGAATTCTAAATGGACGTGGTCGAATTCTTTTAATTTCTTTTCCAACAAGATTCTTCTCTTTCCACATTACCTCAAATGCGGTAAAATAAGTTTCAAACCTTACGATGATAATCTGATTGTTTATGATGGCGATAGGCATAACGTTGATGGCTATTCCATGGATTGGTCCACTTTGAAAATGGATCCTAACATAGTCAAACATGCTAAGCAGGTTGTCTACGATAAGAATGAACTGTCGAATAACGATATAATGAATGAACTTGCTAAGTTGCAAACAAGATTGACACAGATAAAAAATACTTTGAAATGTGAAGATGATGTTGAAAAAAACATTTTTTAAAATTACATTTGAGAGGCTTTCTTAAGTAAGTGTTAAGTAATGAAATGCATGTAAAATAAGAAGATTATATAAAAGATATAATAGTATTTTTTAATTAATATGTAGAAATTGAGAGATAGAATAAAATAATA